CAAATTCAACACATACTCACTCATGTACAAACAAAACACAAACACATTCAACACATACACACACATGCACACAAATACATTCAACACATACACACACATGTACAAACAAAAACACAAACACACTCAACACATACACACACATGCACAAACACAAATACATTTAACACATACACTCAAAAACACAAACACAAACACAAACACATTCTGCAAGCACTCTCACCCGCAGAGATGGCAGCGGCTGATGAGTCGCGTCGTTGGAGTGGGTCGTGGAAGTCAAACGGTGGCACCAAATCGTCGCCACAGCACGCGAACAACTGTGCAAGGAAGCACTCGCTCACAGTCTGTGCCGCATCTAAGAATCTGCGTGTATAAAAAAATGTGTGTATAAAGATATGTGTGTGTAACGATATATGTGTATAAATATATGTGTGCATGTGAAATAGGCACCAATGCACACGTGACATGCAGATGAAGCCCATGCAATAATAAAATACAATAATAACACACTAATACCACATATATTAATAACACACACCCATAACACATAAATTAATAACACACACCTATAACACATACATTAATAACACACACCTATACACATACATTAATAACACATACCTATACACATACATTAATAACACACACACTAATCAAGAAGAGCTATGGGCATGTGTGGAATTCAAGAGAAGCTTTGGATATGAGTCATACCTTTGATCCTTGGTCCACTTGTACACAGTACTAAATCCATGAATAGCAAATCCACACCCACGAGTCCAGATGGAAGTGGCGTTGTAGCCCTAAAGAAACAAAACGAGGTGCTTATCAATGGGCAGCCATGCGCACTCGGCAGCAGATTGATTGCCAAGCATTGAACACGTTGAATGCGTTGAACGCATTGAGTGCATTGGTGCAAATAGTTGGTATTGTTGAATAGTTGGTATTGTTGAATAGTTGGTATTGTTGAATAGTTGCATAGGTATGGGAGTAGTGGTAGCGAGTGGGCATGCACACCCAAAGGCCAGGCATCCAGCTATTGCATGAACACTTTAGTAATACCAATGTTTAATGGCATTCAAGCTATGTGTGTATGTAAAATTGTTAAATGGGCACTGTTTAGTATCATGTGCATGTACTTGCAGCACACGCGTGTTACACTGGTTGTTTCACTGGTTGTTGCACTGGTTGTCTGTACCGTGTGTTACCTGAGGGATACTGACATAGCGTTTGGGCTGTGCTGTGTGCACGTCATAGTCGACCACGTGCCATGTGCACCCGTCGTCTCTGATCAGATCACGCAGGCCTAAGGCACGAGTGGGAAAGGGCAGCAGAAGATACAGAACTTTAACCCAAGGACCATAAACCCTAAACCCTAGAATATCGCACTATGAACAGACCAAATAGCTCAAGCACCAACCGAATACGACATCCGAATAGATACGATATTCGACCAAAGATGACATTCAACCAAAAAAGGCAGTCAAGTAAATACGAAATTCAAATATGTACGACATTCAAATATATACGACATTTGACTAAATAGGATATTTCATTACACATGTTGTACACAAACACATGCCCACAGCAAGGCCCACACACTCGTATTCAGAGACCATGGACGGACTGGCAGCAGTGCAATACACACGATAAGAAGACAAATGGACAGACGCACTCAACGATGGTGGAATTAATAGGTTATACTAACAGAGGTATCAGTACAAATACCATATACTTATACCAGAGATACTATAGCTATATAGTATTAGTATGAACCAGTCGCATATGCACAAACGTGAATGCTTACTTGTCAGGCTATGCTGTATTGCCATTTGCGTGAGGGTGGCGTTTGCTTCCTTCTGCCCCGCCCAAAGTAGCAGTTCCAGATTCATCATGTTGTCTGTGAGTGGACAAATACGCACAACCGTCACAACACAACGCATTGCATGCGCCTCATGCCGATGCAAATTTGTACATACTTTCGGTCTATAAGGATCAATAATCGGGTAAGAAATGTATTTTCTTAGAAAAAACTTCACCTCGAGTCTGGGACAGCCACACATGCGTCACTGCACTCGTACGTAGAATTTAGCCAGAACCCTAAACACCACGTACCCACAATGACAGGCCATTTCATGGAGCGTGCTGGTTCGGAGAACTTCTGCGTGTCCCAACTCTTGAGTGCGCCGATGCGTTTGATGTATCGCGTGGCGAGTGAGTGAGCGGCTGTGAGTGTGGGCGTGAGATACTTCTTCCACCCTATGCACACAGGACAGGACAGGACAGGACAGGACAGGTTAGGATAAGGAGGAAGACCTTAAACCCGATGTCCTGGGTTTTAGGGTTTTAGGGTTTTAGGGTTTAGGTAGAGATGGTTTGTGTTTGCTGTGTATGTGAACTGTCGCCTATGACGCACCTGTGGATCTGTAGGCATGTCCAAATGAATAGAAGACCTTAAACCCAATGTCGTGGGTTTAGGGTTTTAGGGTTTTAGGGTTTAGGTAGAGATGGTTGGTGTTTGCTGTGTATTTGAACTGTCGCTTATGACGCACCTGTGGATCTGTAGGCATGGCCAAATGAATAGAAGACCTTAAACCCAATGTCGTGGGTGGAGGTGTCGTGTACTTCCTTCTCCAAATAGTCAATCCGTTTGATGAAGCTGTTCGTGCGAGAGTGCAGGTGGGGCTATAAGAGAGCGCTGCAGATTGGCATACAAAAGAAATCGAGAAAACGTATATATACGTCTATGTATATATGCACAAGTATTGAGTTGTATTGTATAAAGCAGTGGCGATGCAGATATTAGTTTTCAGCTGCAACGAAAGAAACATGAACATACAAAGAACACCAACACATACACTCACCAGTATTATCATTAACACATATATGTACCTTATAGCAAAAACATCATCACATATCCACCGAATAATAATAAATTCTATGGAATACGCCTATGACATACGTTACACATGCACAATTGATACGTTACACATGCACGCATGAGCAATTCCTGCACCTACCGCTCCATCCACTCGTCGGCCATGAGTGGGTTAGGCGATGCCTTGTCCCAGTCGTACAGCTGCATGAACATGCCATTGAGAAAGCCACTCACCCACTTCTTAGGCTTAACCATACTGTACTCTGCAGCGCGCACACACACACCCCAACAGACCATCAGTCAACTGCTACTTAGGCTCAATGAACTCTTTGTATGCATTGAACTAACTGTATGCAATGAACTAACTGTATGCATTAAACTAATTCGATGCATTAAACTAATTGTATGCATTGAAATAATTGTATGCAATAAACTAATTATATTCACTAAACTAATTATATACATTATACTAACTGTATGTACTAAACTAATTGCATGCATTGAACTAATTGTATGCACTAAACTAATTGCATCCCTTAAACTAATTGTATGCACTAAACTAATTGCATGCATTGAACTAGTTGTAAGCACTAAACTAATTGCATGCATTGAACTAATTGCATATATGGAACTAGTTGCATACACTTAACATAGCGCTGACATACTTTGACATGTCGGACACTCTCCTGCGAATGGGAAGAGCGAATACTCTACATGACGATGAATGGTGCGTACCTGCAGAAGAGAAACAACACAACACCACACCACGTGCACTTGAGACCACACGTCATGTGATATGCATTGACTCACTCACAGACTACATCACCTGCAGAAGACAAACAACACTACACCACACCACGTGCACATGAGACCACACGTTATGTGACATGCACTGACTCACTCACAGATGACATCCGCAAAGCAGCCACACTTGCTTGTAGACGCACGAGTGTAGTAACCCTAAACCCCAAGTAGCCCGAATGGAGTGTAGTAACCCTAATCCCTAAAGCCACGCGAATGGAGTGTAGTAACCCTAATCGCTAAAGCCACGCGAATGGAGTGTAGTAACCCTAATCCCTATAGTATCGCGAATGGAATGTGGTATCCCTAATCCCTAAAGCAACGCAAATGGAGTGTAGTAAACTTGAACCCTAAAGTGACGCGAATACAAGGCTCAACAGAAAACAGCTGCACGAGTTAACATATGGACACCACTTAAACCTAACCAACCAATGGTAAAGAGTTACAAATGGCACTCAGTGACTCACTCGATCTTTACAGATGGCCATGAGCTCATCAATCGTCTGCTGTCCCAATTGAAATGAGCCGTCTCTACGTGCAACAGTCTTCTCAGCACACGAGTCATTCTGTTGAGTGAACTGTAGCGCAGCGTACGGGTTGTGAGACAAGGAAGAAGTGCATACTACGGACTACCAGAATGGGACAAGGTTAAGGATATAGTCAATGTGATTGATAATCAGGTATATATATATACTAATACATACATACATA